CCTGGCACTGGAGGCGGTCCAGGTAGTGGTTTAGGGTTCTGTGGTCAATAGGGTTTAGGGCTAAGGGTTTTGAGCTTAGGGTAAAAGAGCTAGATTAGGAGTTTAGGGCTTGGGGTTGGGGTCTCAATTTGTCCAAAGGCTCAGGTTTCGGTGGTTTGGGGACATCGGTTCAGAGTTTAGCGGCATTGTAGGGTCTGTGGTCGAAATTTCAGGGGCTGCACGGGGATTGCTAGAGGAGTTCATACCAGCCACAGAGGGCTCTGCAAACAGTAGGATTAGATGGGGTTTGGAAGATAAACCATAACGTCTTGGGAGGTAAGAACATCAGGTTGTGGGATTTGGGTTTTATGTTTGCGGCGTAGCATTTGTTAGGCCAGAGGGGCTTAAGCCCTAGAGCATTTCAGATAGGAATGGTGGTTGTAGTGCTCAGGGCTTCGGAATCGGAAGATCCAGTATGGGGCTAGACTTACTGGGTCTCAGTAGGGAATATGGGAAGATATCATATAGGGTTTATATAGGGAAACCATATCCACATCCAGTACCAAGAACCAGTGGGTAGAAGGATCAAGTGGGCATCAGACGTAGATTCGGCAGCTTCTCAATCTTACCCGTCAAGAATCCGTCTTCTGTCTCTTCAAATGCCCACCCAAGGAACGAGATCAGCAATTCTGTGTTTGAATGCAGTTCTTTGGAAAATGAGACTTAATACTAATTGGGGAAAAGGAGTGCGCCCTTCGTCTGGCTCATGCACGGTTCCCAAGCCTAGAAGCAACGATATGGTCCCCCCAACATGCTCAGGAGTATGTAACACGAGATGGAACAAGGTTGCGGCACGAGTAGGGGACCCCCACAGCCCCCCCGCGACTTCTTCTGAGAGACACCCCATTTATGGTTGTCTCATGGGGGGTAGTAAGGGGTTCAGAAAGTTAGGCTGACCCTAAACCCTAAACCCTAAATAGTAAATTCCCCTTTATTTTCAGCTATCCCAATATTATCCGAATATTACCCCAGTATAACCCCTGTTGGCCTCAGAGACTAGGGAGTGCAATTTGGCGCTAGATGGTTTCAGCCCAGACGTCGAGCTGATCAGGCTTGATGTTATGGAAAAGACAATTGAAACTGCTATATTATAATAGGGTATATATTGGGGTTATATATGATAATAGAGAAGAGAGGGGAAGCTACTATAGTATATTAGCTATTCCTGATCTTTACTACTTGTCTTTAAGTGGCTTGTACACGTTCAAGACTAGGACTTCTTTCGGCGGTGTCCATGCTTCTGGATTGTTTACGCTTTAGGCCGGGTTCAGGTTCAGGGCTCTAGGGCCTCTCGCAAGTCCACCAAAGCGTTGAACTCTAAGTTTCAACATGTAGGTGTTGGAAGTGGGTTCCATTGCAAGTGGCCCACGCGTTCGGCTGCGCTAGATTCCCTGTTTTTCTAAGGCTGGAAGATCTGCCCTAGGACCATGTAGAAGCCTGATTGCTGAAGCTCTTCATATCAACAGCAAATAATTCGTTTTCTGCCTATTTATTTTAGCACGCAGAGTAGGGAGCGCAATCACATCTACAGCTGAAAACGTATCTTGTTTGCTTTGTGCGTAGTCATACAGGAGTTGCTGGGCTGTACTTGTGGACTTGCGTACGGTCCTATAAATGCCTTCTGTCAGGCCAAGCCGGGCGAGAATGCACAGGCAACACCAGCAAACAAGCTGCGTCCTGTTGGCCACGTATGAGATGACCATGCAGTAGCACGAGCCTGTTAAGTCAAGTTAAACGATGGAACCCAGGTTTATGATCAGGTTGGTGCAGCCATAGCTTCCCAGTACCAATGGCTTGCTTCAGCCTGTGCTCGGGTTACAAACTTGCGCTTGGGCGGCAGTCCGAAGCAGGGACTGCGGGTACGGTACGTGTGATAGGGCAGGGGAAAATGGTCTTGCATCTCCTCTGTGCAAGTCAAACATTACAGCCTGAGCATGTGCTTTAGAATCCGAAGCCACTTCCACCCTCCACCACCACCGCCGCCACCGCCACCGCCACCGCCACCCCGCCGCCACCACCACCGCCACCCCGCCGCCACCACCACCACAACCACCACCACCACCGCCGCCACCACCGCCACCACCTGAACCCAGCACCACCAGCTACCGCGACTCGTGGCTTGTCATCCCTTACAACAAGGACATGTTATCTCGGCTATATCCTGAATATCTGCTTCAATTGCTGGGCAAGCAGAGTGAGAGTAATGACAGTAGCCTATGGCAGCCCCCTGTTGCAGCATCACGTGCCAGGCAAAGCCTGAGTCATCCTCCCGGGCGCAGTTCATTATTGACAATCCAGGCGTGGGAGATTTTTCCATTTTTCTGTTTCCGCAGTGTTGGCGTAGGATCTATCAAAGCAAAGGCTAAGTTAAGCCCATAGGAGTTGTACTTTGGCCTTACTCATCCATGGTACGTTGTCACTTCCTTGATTGTAGGCCCCCTGACCCTTTGAGGAAGATTCACCATCAGGGTTATGGGGTCCGCAAGCGAGGGCATCCGCCTCCCACATATTATGGCCTTTCTGCAGCCTGAAAGATGGAGCGCCAAAGATGTTCCAAGCTCGGGAGAATTGTGGTCTGTGGGGGCTGCCAGCTCTAAATCGAGGCTGTAGCGGTCGGAACGCAGTCATACTTTACTTCATGGATGTCGAAGCTCTTCGCCCGAATCTTTCTCCACTCTTAACTGGCTCAATCCGAGAACAACTTGATGCCTGCAAATTTTGCTGAAATGTTGCACCAAAGATTCCACAGCGCTCGCGGTCAGGTAAAATCCTGGATTTCTACGATCTGGAGAAGAACAAGCTGGGTGAAGGGCCTGGGCTCCAAGCTCACACTTAAATGCACATGGCGTTTGGTGCCCAGTCAAGCCCTCCAATTCCCAACTGATTTGAACCTGTGTTGCCCTAAAGCCAGTTCTTCGTGTAGGTTCACGTGATGCGGCTTGCAGGTGTTGTGTAGGCCTGGCAGCTAGAATTCATGCCATGTCCCTCCTCAGTTGCCCATGAGACAGCAATTGCTGAACGCAACACTCAACAGCGGACAGGACGACTTAGCTGATGGGCGAAGTGATGACATTCCAAACAGATCCGCAGCAAGCAGCTTTCTATCTATTTACTGAGGTCCTATGGCTATGTCAGCAAGGCGACGAACAAGGCCACTGGCCTCGTGCGCGCTGTGAAGACCATTGCCAAGGTGCGCTGGTCTTTCTCTCGCGAGGTTCTGGGAAATAATTAAGACCACCACGCTGACTTACCCCTCTAGTTATTGAAGCCCCCGTCCACTTGTTAGTGAAGGGGTTCACACAAGATTCATAGGGTGCATCTCAGTCATGAGGGAAGAGTTACGTTGAATCATACACAGTGAAATGCCCATGGCCGCTGAACTCTAGAATGCTTGCAATCTAAAGTTTGAAGTCTTGAAGCACCACAACGCGAGGACTTACACCACTTCAGAAAGTCCAATTACAAGGTCCACAAGCTATATCTGCTGCATGTAGTTGTGTGCATTGGGTGTTTACAGAATTTTGCCGAGAGTAAAAACAGTGTAATATCCATGACGCAATGATGGCCTACGTCTCTGAGAACAACATTATGTCATACGAAAGCCTGAGTAATCACATGCTCAAAGCCCTTAGTTCCTGAACAGGGCAAGATGAAGAACATGGAGCGGTTCAAGCAAGAGATTGCGATCCTGAAATTGATGGACCGCTTCTGTCAGTCTGACAGTTGATGTTGCAAACAATCTGAGGGCTGGAGCTTCAGATGTGCTTGCATTGAAACGTTCACCTTCCCTATCCACTTAGTTTTTGCTGCGGGGATGTGTTCGCCCTCAAACACGAGACACGCTGAGCCGCGTGTGCGGTGAGGCTTGGTTGCATAGGTTTCTGATCATGTGGTCGCTCACTACTTGAGCTTTTGCACCGAAGCATCCGTTTTCATTGTGCGCTGGTCGGAATCCTAACTACGTTCTTGTCAGCGGTACTTCTGTCACTTTTGTCTGATGAGGCAATCACTCGCGTGCAGTTATAATTTGCCTTCATAGTCTTAGCACCATAACTATCTCTTGTGTTTTTGTAGTTCTGTATTCCAGGTAGGAACACCATCCTCATCATGTTTGCGGTTTCTTCGTGATCAACATGTCGATCAGACCACCGCGCTTGGTATGAGAAGCTTGGTTTCTGTGATTCCTATATGTAAAGCCAGTGGTCTGGTCCGGGGTATTATTGGGCAAATACTCTTCATATTCAGGAATACCCGGGCCACAAGAAGGCTTAAAAGTCAATGGTATCGGTAGCGTACTGCCTTCAACCCGTACTCAGATAAGTTGGAGTCAAAGGGCCTCAGAGAAGATACAGCTTGTGCAGGACCATCCTAACATCATCAAGCTTTACGAGAGCTTCGAAGACCTCAGGTGGGTGGCTTGGGGTAAAGCAGTTCCGTGCTGTTTCGAGTGTACATGGTAGTTTCCTTGAATGGGGTGACCGGGGTGACCCCAATCTAGGCAAAACTATCGTACTCCTCATCATACATAGGGACCCCCAAAAGTACCCCTAATTTTGAGAAACCTCCACATTTTCAGACATCCATGCCACGCTTGTAGGATGCTTGACGGACGGTGATGCATGTGGTAGGCATAGGAGTAATCGTGCAGAATCATGTCGCAAACAACTCCCAGAAGCCACGTCATCTTCAGATTCTTTTGAGGAGGGTTTAGCGTTTAGGGTGTAGGGCTCCCCTTCAGACATCACGAATTGCAAATCAGTCCTGGGTGTGCGAGCCATGGAAGCCCCAGTGCCAGCCTTCAGGAATGCAAAAGCCTCCATTCAATTATCCTTGTTAGCCCTCACCCCCACTCCAACACTCTGCAATGATAAGCATATACCGTCTTTGCCATACAGATCTTGCAGAGGGCTTTTCATATAGTAGGTGGGCCAAATTATACAGAGCCCAATACTAAGAACTTCCAGAAAGGGGCCCCGAATTTTCGGAATCCTCCATTTTCTGCACACCATCATCTAAGCCCAGTTCCCGTTTTCTCCAGTATTAGGGTATCCAACCCTAAACCCTAAATCTACCCCTACAGGAACATATACCTGGTCATGGAGCTTTGTGGTGGCGGAGAACTTTTTGACCGCATCATCGAAGCTGGCAGCTTCACAGAGGTGCATCAGAAATGCTGATTGAGGGCTTTGGGGTTCATGTGGTATGGGTAGTTTCCCAAAAGAAGCATACCGCGAGGTGGGAGAATGCTTGGTATGGAGGACGCCCAAAAAGGAGTTGAGAACGGATTCCTCATATGCCGGCTAGCTCTGATAGGTCAGCATTGGCTTGGGGGCTTCCAGATAGAACTTTGCATCGTCGCTGTATGTCCCTAACAGCCTAACCGCTCCCTTTACATGACTGATTAGGTTGGGCCTCCTCCCTCTCTCGTGTCCCACGCCTTTCCAGCTAGCTCACTTTACCTTACTGGGGGCTAGTGGGGAATAAGGGAACATATTATTTAGGAAGTATGTAGTGATCATATTCCCTTAGTCCCCCCTAACCACCAGTAAGTTACCCTTAGTGGAGCTTGTATTTCCTTGCTTCTGGCCATCTGATCCATGACTTGCATGGCAGGCTTATTGGCTGTTAGAAGCGACAAAGGGAATCTATAGAAGATCTTCGAGTAGAATATGTCCCTATAGAATTCCTAAATAGCATATTCCCTTATTCCCTAGAGTAGAATATGTTCCAATGTAATCCCCACACAACTCCTAATATATTCCCTTAGTCCCTACTAAGCACCAGTCAGCAGGTGGTTGCCGCGAACTTGATGCAGCAAATTATCCGCGCTGTGAACTATATGCACCAGAGCCAGGCTCGATGGTAAAAGCTAGAAAATGATAGGTTTAGGGTTTAGGGGTTTAGGGTTAAGGGGTTTAGGGGTTTAGGGTTTAGGGGTTTAGGGGTTTAGTGGTTTAGGGGTTTAGGGTTTAGTAAGAACAGTAGAAATAGTAATTATAGTAATAATCGTGACAATAGCAATAATCGAAATAATAGAAATAAAGTAACTTGGTAATGATAGTCAATAGCCATCGTAGCCATAATAGTGATATATAGCGGGATCCTTTACGGGCTTATTTAGGGCTTGGATGGGGGGAGGTGTAGTATAGGATTCCATGATAAAATCCATCCCCAAAAGGGCGGAGACAGCGCATGGTTCCAGGTTAGTTTGTGTTTTTTTGCTTTGGAGGTCCCAATTGGGAGGGTCCTGGCATTGAAGAGTAGAAGCAAGGGGCCCCAGATGTACAGCAACTCCGTTTGACAAAGCATGCTTGAATTCTACGCGTGCTCCAAGATGACCTCGGTCTGATAAATGAGGATGTCCAAATTTCAGTCCAAGGCAGTTCCCTTTTTTGGCATTCCTACTATGGTGCGTTTGCCACACTCTTCAGGAGTAAGTGAGGTAAGCAAACTCTACCAGACCTAGGCTTGCTAGTTGCAGAGGGCACATGCGGTGATCTAGGGTTTAGGGTTGGGTTCGGAAGAAGATGAAGAAGATGATAATCAGACAAGCCTGGATGCAAGCCAGAAGATTGAGAAGCCTGGACCAGCGGATTGTGCATACTCGGAATCGAAAGTTTCCAGACCTGTGGGCCCCTTTGAACTTTCGCTTACAATGCCAACAGGACCCTTTTGAAGTCTTGCCCACCGTTTCTTGGCATGTCACATACCTGCTATGCCCAAGTCAAGAGTCCTCATCCACTGACGATTCTTATGTTTTTCACTGTCCTTTGTGTTATTACTGTTATGCTCATGCTTATCCTTTTATCATCACTGCTACGACTATTAATATTATTGCTAGCATAACTCAAGCTGGGCTCCAATAGGGTACTGCTCGCGTCTCTGATCCTGGCTAGTGGAGCCTGGGACACGGTTCCAGGGTAGCACATGTGACGATTGGATTTGTTCGTTAAGACCTCACCCAAGCTTCTATGTCATGCTTTGCATGTAGCTCAACATAATTAGCTACGCTGCTCCACCAACATCACTTGGCAGAGTGCAGTTGTTTCTGTTGTGTGTGAGCATGAGATTTCAGTGATTCTGCCCCGCATCAACTTCTGAAAGTTTTTGTCATCAGGAGTCCCGGGAGGCATCAAGCGTATGACTCCATGGGCAATCCTCTCTTCCGCGCCTGGCAGGTCGCTCATCGAGATCTGAAGCCTGAAAACTTTCTTTTCACCTCCAAGGAGACAGCTTGGGATTGTGAAATGATGAGCTTGACGGAATGTGGGGGGTTTCTCATCCCTAGGGTCCCTAATGGCCCCGATTTTTAAGAACCCTCATGCGAGGACAGCACATGCGCATAACAGCGGAACAACTGTAACAGAATCACGGTTTACACTGACCTGAAGCCAAAATCTAAATTGCTCCTTTGTTCCATACTTCCGGACACCAAGCTTACAAGTTCCTCACTGCTTCGTAATTCTGTGGCACATCACGTGACTTCAAGGGTTCCAGGGCACTGTGCAGAAGTAGTGACATGTCTTCTTTGCATTGCAGGTTCTGTGTTGCCACCTCTCGAGTAGCAAGCATGGAAGCAACTAGCAGTCTTATGGGGCAGGGATGCCAGTACACGCAGGCTAGACAGGTAGGTGTAACGTTGGAATACCGCTTGCTTAGGGCGACAGCTGTGCTGGCGTAGGACTGGCGTGGGATCTGAGAGCGGCGGCGAGGGTCCTGCAAGTGGAGGCTACATTGACAAGACCTTGGTTTACCAAGATGCTACCGCTACCCGAAACTCCTATGCCCCCTTTTCGACTCTCCGGTTGGAGGAGCCGATGGAGAACAACATCCTCAAGATCATTGACTTTGGCTTGTCATGCAAGTTTGCAGAGAGAGCTTACCTGACAACCAAGGCTCCCTCTGTCGAGATGTGGGTCATGTAATTTTGCTGGATGTTCAGAGAACAAGCAGGCCTAGCTAAGGGGAATGATAGAGGGAATGAAGAAATACAGGCGGTTATAGTCCCCCTTAAGTAGATAGAATATGGCTTTGGGAGATCTCGTAAAAGATCCCCCTATACCCCATATTCTATCTACTTAACAGGGGACTATAAGGCTTTTAATGGGTCAAAACAGAAAATCAACGCATCGCTTTGGCTAAGGAGAGGAGAAGTACTGCACCATGGATTCAGAAGTGGGGCTTTCTCCATTGTCTTCGCCTTTTGTTGTAAACCTAATCAAAGCAGGGCCCATCCACTATTCTCTACAAAGGGGCGGATGCTCGCTCTCTAAGGGGCCAGCGCTCTGGAACAAATCCCAGAATGTCTTGGTTGGTGGCATGCCTAGTTTTTTTCGGTGGTTCAATCATCTTCTTTTTTGTGGGCGCTTTCGTTTTCCCTTTAACTCTTGGTTCTTTTGGTCCGGGTGAGAAGATGGCCAGTTAAGACGGTCAAGAGGCCTGTAATTATGCATGGCTCTTGGACCCCTGGCACAAACTTCCGCTCCGTGCAGGCTGGCACCCCATACTATGTGGCCCCGCAGGTGCTGTCTGGCAAGTACGACCAGGCATCGCGAGACCTGCAAAGATATTGATAGAGTTCACCATTTAAAAAAAAAAACCTACAAAATTACGCAAAAGGATCATGATACACACTGCAGAGGGTTGGGTGCCTCAAATGCGCAACCAGGAAAGTCCACTTGCGTCGGAGTCCGGGCATCACTCTTCCTCATCCTTGTCAGGCGTTGTTTCACAGGCTTGAGGTTTCCCAATGCCTGTTCATACAGGCGAATTAATTATTACCATGTTACTATATTACTATAGAACTATACTACTATATTACTATATTTCTGCCTGTTCATACAAGCTGTATCTAGCACCTGTAGCCCGTGTGAAAACACGCGTCCGGTGAGTCTTTGCGTCAGACGAACAGCTTGTGTATTTAACATGGAAGGCACACACCTAGAGCCTCCTTGTGCCACTGTGTAGTCACACGTGGGTCTTTCCATTCATTGGGGTCAGGAATTCATGAAAAGACGTATGTTTCACCCTTGGATACATACCCCAATACATAACCCGATGCATACCTCGATACATACCTCGATACATGCCCCCACAAAGTCCCTTTCTTCAAGAGCCCATTGCTGCGAAACATACCTCGAAAGATACCTCCACACATACCCTGAAGCATACCCCAACCCAAACGTTTTTTTGACCGCGGTTTAGCCAGAAACACCCATGTGGATAGGGCTAACAATTGGGACCCTGATTGGGGTGAATGTAAGCATGGCGTCAGAGTGGTAAGCATGGTATCCCGTGTTGTCTGAAGCTACATGGGCTATAGGCTATAGTCTGAACTCCGCAAAGGGTGGTACTTGTGGGATTATGCCAGGGACTATTTCAAGGGTTACTAAGCGGGACACTAGCAGTGCAGACTACAGCTCACGTTGGGATTTGGCATCAGCAGCTGCCAGGCTACACCTGGAAATTTACTTAATTCATCATAGCACGGGTCCCTATGTTGGGGTTCCTGGGGTTCCTATTACAACAGGGGTCCCTCTATAAGCTTCCCACATCTGGGGAATGGTACCTAGAGTTCTGCAATGAGATCGTTTTAAGCCACACGGAACCACTTAAAATGCAGGCCATGAGCGTCAGCATGCAGCCTAACCAGCGTCCTCTACAGCCCTTCCCGAAAAGAAGCGCATCCGGAAGAGCAGCCGCCAACAAAATGTGCGGGCTGAATGCTGGACGTCTTTCCAAATCTGTATGCAAGGCACCCACAGGCTTTCAAGGTTGTCTCCACGTCCGCGATGTTGTGCCCGAAAGCATGCTAGTTGCCGCAGGGCCACAGATCCACCAAAGAGATATCATACACTTAAGGCTCTCAGGCCAGAAGGTGTCGTCAACCTCAAGCTCGAAACCCTGAGTTCGGGGTAAGGGCCCTGAATTCTTCACCAAAAAGTTTCCAGGGGGTAAGGGCACCACTATGAGTGAGCCGTGTGAAAGGGCTACAACCAAGAACACCGAACCCAAAGCCCAAAAGCTCCAAAGTACTTGTCTCATAGTCCTTCCTGCATTGCCTCCACGCAGTCTGCGGACCTATGGAGTTGTGGCGCAACACTGCCATGCTTGCCCAACTGGGTAATCGGGTTCTGGCAGCCGGAATGGTATTGGGATACCGGGGAAGTATGTGACAAGTACTACGATCACTAGTATGATTGTACGCGCGCTTAGGAACTTGGACTCTTTTGGCTTGCTGATAGTGGGAAAGCCAGCTGGCAATGGTTCGCCGGCTCGCCTGACCGCGTAAGGAAAGACTCGAATCAAACGGTCCACTAGGGCACTAGGGACGAACAATGTGCATGATGCTCAGCGGGAAGTGTGAGAACGGGATACGTATACACTTAATTATTCGTACCGGCTGCATATAAACAGGATGCGGGAGGGGAATCCCAGTCATCAAGCAATGGCTTTCCAAAAGAGAGCTGCCCCTCAGATGATAACCTTACAGGATTCTCATTATCCCGATCCATGACTTCGACAAGCTCCCGATTGTAATAGTGCTCTCAGCATGGCTGCTGCATACTCTGCAGTACTCCTGCAGCGCCTGGGTGCTACATGCCCACCCCCATGACATGTAGTCAAGGGATGACAGGGATGATTTACGTGGGCTAGCTCTGCAAGTTCCCAGCAAAACAACTTTGCCTAGCTGTGCTTTGTGACGTGTCAGCTCCTCATGGACTAACCCGGACATGCTCGTACTTGACGTGAATCGCTTTGTCAAAAGCTAGAGCCCCATTTGTTCAGATTGATGGTCTAGAAGAGGTTTCACATGCAAGGTCATTATGTTCGTGCTGCTTTGCGGATACCCTCCCTTCTTCGGGGACTCCGACAAGGAAGTCCTGTCCAAGGCCACGTGAGGGCAGCATCAAATCATTTTGGCGCAGCCATGTTCTGCAGAAGTCTTGAAACCAAGGGAGCTGGAGTTGAGCTCTAGACAGTCTCACCAGCCAACTTAGACCCCTTCCAGCCCACAGCCTGGAATTTTCAAACATTGCTCAGTTTTTTTGGTAATGCCTATTCTTTTCGTTGAGGTACCTCTGAACTAGCAGCTTGTTACTTTTTTTAAGGGGGTTATCATAAACTCGGCTACTTGAGGAAATACGACTAGAATTTGACTTTATTAAGATCTTTTTGGTCTTTGCTGACCATCCTTTTGTTTTAACAAACAGGTTTGTTCAAGCTGGTTTTCCTGGCTCGATCTGGTGTAGGGAACTGCTTACACACCCTCTTTAGACTGCTTTTGCCGGCAATGGGGGTCTCAAGTTCGCTGGTGTCAGTCGGTCCTTGGTTCCGAGCGCAGAACATGGTGCTTGGCTAGATGGAAACCAGTTCCCACGTTCTGAAAGAGAATGTAAACCCTGTGAGTAGAATAGCAGGCCCAAGGCTACAGTAGCAGCCTCAAAAAGACGGCCACAACGTCCAAATGTGTCGTCTCGGAGGCTTCCTGCGTGGATAGGCCCCAAGGTATGCGCAACTGCGTAAACTGCACAAGATTGCAATGCAGCCTCCTACTGATGCTTCTCCCTCCAGAGGTGAGAATGGGCAACTTCAATTTCAATCCCGCAGATTGGAAGAATGTCTCGGAGGACGGGGGTCATGTCCTGTGTGGATTCGTATTGCTCTAGCAACACTATGTATCTATCGACATGAAGTGCAATCCTATGCTGAACACGACTGCTTCTTCACCGTACACACCCGCTGTTGCTGCAGCCTCTGCCTGCTACCACCATCGCCACTGATACTGCAGATGCTGCCATTTGGCTTGACGTGGATGGGCATGTGTCAGTCCTGAGAACCAGGGCCTTGCTTTGCTGTGCACGCCTTTGCCAAATTGTCTTTTGTATAATGAGTTGTCACTCTGGTTGGCTGCCATTTATTCAATGCTCATTCCTGGTAGGTGACCATTCGTCCCCCGGCAAGAAGTTAGCACTGCATTTGGGCTGATGCCTCTTTTGGGTTGCAGAGGGAAAACTACAGCGTGTTAATTAGGCAGGAAGTAGGCTGCGGCGTCCAAGACAATTAATGCAAGGGAAGTGCCTTTCAGTGACCTTACAGAAGTCTCAGCTTTTACCCCAGTAACTTTCACGGTCCGCCAAGAATTTCATATCAGCTTTACGGACCCGGAAACTGCCACGAACCATGGTGATGGTTTCACTTGCTGAACGTAGTGATAAGTGATAGAGCAAGTGGTGATAGGAATGACAGGAATGAACATGCGCGGGGAATGTCGTGGGGAAAGGGTTTTAAGGCGCACTCTCTCACAGAGCCCAAGATGTTAGCTCTCAACTTATTATGCACCTGTAAACAAGACCTGCAAAACGAGGCCTTGTAGCTGAAGCTCAAATCACGAGTGTTGCCCAAGCATCCTGTATATGGAGAATCCCAATTTTCTCCCAACATGACCAGGACATGGTCAGGATTCCTGAAAATTGGGTAATTTCCCAAAATTGGGGGGGACCCTCATATAGACCCTAAAATCCTATTGATCCTTATTACCCTGAACCCAAAACTCTATTTATCCCTATGTAACCCCTATGTAACCCAAATATAACCTCTACAACCCCTTGTAACGGTACTTGCTTTTTGGCAGCCGCTATACATGTTCCTGAAAGCAGGATGCCAAGAACCTGATACGCAACCTCATGAGGATGAACCCAAGGGAAAGGCAGAGGGAGGGTTAAGGGAGAGTCATTGGTGAAGTTTCTGATTTGTAGGAATAATAGGGATTATATGGGGTTATACAGGGTTATATAGGGGTTATACAGAGGCTAGATAGGGATTATAGGGTATATATTGGGGTTATATGGGGAATGGAAAAGAGAATGGAAACTACTGTAGTATTTCGGATAGGGTGCCAATTTTTTGGAGATTGCTAAAACCACAGGTCCAGGGCTTCGGCAGTTTTCGTGGCGTGAAAGAAAGGCAGAGTTGCAAGGGGAGAGTCTGGGTACAGCTCTTTCAGCGCCAGCAGTTAGTTTAAAGAGCTCAGGCAGTTGTCCAGGGTCAGGTGGAAAGTTTCCGAGGCCCCCGGTGCCCTCGCCAGTCAGCACAGATGAATGATGCATTCGAGAGCCCTGCGCCCGAAGCCTCTATCTAGTGCTTTCAAGGCTTCCTAAAGCACTTCTGTGACTCATCTACATATTAGCCCAAGCACACAATCATCCCGCAGAATCTTGTCGACGCTCGGCACATTCCTGCCCTCAGGAGTTGGGCCAGCAGCTGTGTTACCCTTGAGCCCTGAACTAAATCCTAAACCTGAAGCCCTTCACCCTAACGCGAACCCCAGACTAAGAATGAATGAGCGCACAGCTATACTGGGAGGTTCACTGCGGATCAGGCCCTGCAGCACGAATGGCAGAGGCCTTAGTTGAACAAAAATCTGGGCATGGGGGGGCACTTGTTGAGGCGATTAAAGGGACCCTAGAGGCTACTGAACCCCCATTGGTGTAATACTAGGGTTATATTGGGGTTATAATGGCGAAGAAAAGAAAATGGAAAAAGAAATGGAAACTGGGATTATAGGGTGTATAGTCTATAGGACATGTAGCCCAACATTGCATAAGGCAATGCCAAGACTGCAAGTAATGTTTACAGTTGCTAGATTTTTTAAGTGAGAGCAGCTTAAGCTTGCTTAGGCTGCTCGTCATTTCTTCTTTGTAATGTTGCTGGCTTCTTTGAGTTAATCGAATATTGAAGATCCAAATGGAAAGCAAGTGAAACATGAAATGGACACGGCTATCTAGGGCTCAGCCCATCCAACTGCTTTATTTCGAGGGTTATACTTCTCGTATGTGTTCAGGACAGGTTTGGGTGACTTATGTTCAGGCCTTGTATTCTCTCGTGGGGTCCCCAAATCTAGGTATACCTGAACCTTGAACAGTTACTGAGGATCAAGCTCCAGGCGCCCAAGGCTCAGAACGTCAGCCTTCAGTCCAACTTTGTTGACAATCTCCGGGGCTTCCGATCTCAGAACAAGCTGAAGAAGGCCAGGACGTGTAGGGGGTCCTGCCAGGGGTTGCAGATATGACACTTGCTCAAATAGGGGGACCCGAATGTAGATCCCAGAATACTAGAGTCCTTGTTAATGGGATCCCCAAAAAGGTACCCCCAAGTTTGGGACACCCCCCTTTTCAATTCTTTTTAGTAAGTCCAGGCCGGGAATGGTTCGTGGCCAGCGGGGTTCTGGCTTTATCTCTAAGCCCCATATTTCCGCTGGCCTTAGGAATGTAGGGTTTAGGATTTAGGGTTTTAGGGTTTAGGATTTAGGGTTTAGGATTTAGGGTTTAGGTTTAGGGTTTAGGGCTTAGGATTTAGGGTTTAGGGTCTAGGATTTCGGGTTTAGGGTTTATTAGACCCTTCTGCGCACCCTGAATCCGAAGTGGAAGAGTCCTGCCACTGTCGGAGGCAGCCTTGCAGATCATTGCTGGGCAGCTGAATGAGGACTGATGCCTCGATCTTGAGCTCTACTTTGGGTACTGCCCCCACTCAGTAACAGTCTATATTAGGGGTCCTATTCAGGGCTACATATAACCATGATTATTAGTTTAGGGTTTAGGGGTTCTATTAAGGGCTATATATAACCATATTTCAATCACAATCCAACTTTACTGGGGGGGGAGGCAGTACTGAAGCTCTGCTCTAAACGTCTTTATAAGGGGGGTTGTATAAGGGAATTTCTAGGGGACTATATATAGGGTTTAGGGTCTAAACTCCTGAAAGGGGGTTATATAGGGATTATATAGGGGAGTGTTTGGGGTTATTGAGGGGGATACTAGGAGTTTAGGCTACAGCTCCCGTAGGGATTTGCGGGCTTCTTTCAGTGAGGGTCCCATGATAAGCCATGATAATATGGGGTTTGGGGTTTAGGGTTCCTATTTCTATACGAGTCCCTGTATAAATTTCCCTCGGTTAAACAGTCATGTAGGTCAAGTCCCATTTGCCTTTAGCGAGAACGGCCGCCGATTTTGCGCCTGAGCAGTTTTAAAGCTGGTCCCTAAAAGTTTCTGGTTTCAGGTCTGGAGTATAGCTTGGAACTTTGGGTTTAGGATTTAGGGTTTAGCGATCAGAGTTTAGATTTGGGGCATTTAGGGTGTAGGGAGTCGGTAGGCTTTCATGGGTTCAATGCTGATCTTCAGACATGGGTCCCATGGGTTTCCAATTGAAGTGGCGCTGACCCAGCTCGAGTTTTGTCGGTAGCTTTGAAATTGTTTGCAATGACCATAAGCATGGTTGATTCTGATACAGGATGAAGAAGTAGCAGCCACTGCAAGACTGGTATGACGGGGTGATGGAGTTTAGATCACGAGAATGGCAGTCGTTCTTACTGCTATTGAACCATGGCAGCCACTTGCACGAAGAACAGCAGTCATTGTTGCTAGTATTGTGGAATCTATAGTGTTCATGGCACCCCGTACCAGTGACCGACGTGTCCAGCAATGCTCAAAGCAGCTGGAATGCGCGTAGCAGCAGATGAGGATGATGATGACGAGGATCATGATCATGGGAATGCTGAAGAAGAAAACAAGAGCAACAGGCAGAGAGCATGAAGTTAGACCAGTGAAAGGGATTGGAAGCCAGCCTCTTCATTTTGATAAGTACAGCTTGAAATGACATCAGGCGATGCAGTTGGCCATGTAGGTGATCCGCTGCTAGTGCAACTTAGTTCCTTGTTGAAGGGTTACTTTAAGGGAGTACGTCGTATAATGCTGGCAGAATAGCTCTAGAGTACTGTGACCATAAACATGCTTCAATGACTTGAACGATGCCCTTGAAATTCAGCCCATAGACGCGGGGCCCATGAAGGATGACCTTGCCATTTTCTTTTCCACCTGATGCTCCATTATTGGAATTCTATATCCCTATGTGTGTTACTCCCGGAAACAGCAGGCACCATGGATACCAACACAACTCGCCTACGATTCGGTCATTAGCTGAAAAGATGGCTGCGGCCTGCATGGGCTGGGTTTAGGGTCTCGGGTTAGGGTTTAGGGGTTTAGGGTTTGGGTCGGGTCAGGAGCAGATTACCCAGCTCCGCGATGTGTTCATGATGATCGATGGAAACGGTGACGGTGCTGACTTGCATGTTTGAAGGGCATTCTCGTCTCCATATGCACTTTTGTGGTGCGAGGTTCAAGAAATTTCTCTTTCATCTATAAGGGCCTCATGTCAGGACCCGATGAGTAGGCTTGGACTTCCTGGGGATCCTTAAAGCTGGGAAGCCATCACATCACTGTCCTTCCGCGAAGCGTTCCTACGAACTGTTTTCCCTGCACATTGCTTTCTGAGATCACATGTGGTAGTTTCCGAACAGAGCCAATATACTATCATCCTTATCATTGCCAAGCGGCCCATTTTTGACCGCAAGACCTTCGTCAGCTTTGATCATTCAGGACCGTCCATGCCCAAACCAAAATAACGGTCATGTTGGAGCGCATCGGATTACCAGAGCATTCATGCACAAACCATATAATAATAGCCTTCGTGTTCCAAGAGCATCCAAGAGCATAGTGTGACCAGGGCATCCATGCTCAAACCATAACAAGGTTCGTTCAAGAGCAACACGGTGACCAAAGCATCTATACCCATACCATAATAAAGCCCGTGTTACCGCAGAGTACCCTAACAAAGGGCCCAGAACACTTCGTCGTCTGCTGATGACCTGCTGGTCTGAAATCGCCCACCTGAAAACGTACGGGACATTCCACACTCCAAAAAATGTTCACAAGTTTTTGGACATGGTGACCTTGAGCCCCTAGCCTAATCTTAAAAAAGGTCACATTTGCAAAGAGATTGAAAAACATCTCACGGCCAAAATTGCGCCGCTTGCCTCAGTATTGTGACCCTCCAAAAAGGGACCCCCTAGTTCTTGGAAGCCCTACCCCTGAACTCTACATATCCTTATATTACTCCTATAGCTACCTTGGAAGGTTCCCCTGGGCTTCGGAAAGCTTAAACCCTACAGCCTATGGGTCCCTGTATAAGCCCTATATCAGCACCTTTTATAGCCCCTAAAACCCCCTTTAAAGTTACCCGTGATTTTGGGAAGCCCCCCTGTGCGTTCGAGCCAGGCCTTCTCACAGTAAACGAGCTGAAGGAAGCGCTCTCCAAGTCAGCCACTCAAGACTTGCTATTGTATTTCTGTGTGGCATTTTGGGATAGTGCCTAATTTGCCAGGGGAGATCCTTATTATTAAAGACATGGGGCTCCTTTAAAGATACGAATCAGACTCTAATTTTTTGTTCATATATATATATATATCTCTCTCTCTCTCTCTCTCTCCCTCTCCCCCTCTCATAATGAGGGTAGCTCTGCTTATCATAAGGCGTAATGTAATTAATATTGTTGTTCAACTCGTGTTTTTAGTAGTAGCGTTCATATTATCAGTTGGCTACCTTTCAAAGAGCCCACGATGCCCACCAAGTCCTTTCCCCCAGTCAAGGAGACATGAAAAGGAACATGGAAACTGAACTGGAAACCATAGATTTCTTGTAAAAGTGGTAAATTAGGCACATGGAAACTTCTTTCGTCCTGATATAACCCCTATAGAATCCCTGTTTTCTTGCATTGATTTCGTATTCCTTATCTCAGATCATCCCTACGTAAGCCCTATAACACCCCAATGTCATTCATATATGGCTGTGAATTCAAAACACTGGGTTTGTAACCGGCTTGGGCGACGATTCTGCGACATAGGTTTGAAACAGAATCTCCTGGCTTGCGACAAGCACCTTTGCCGAAGGTTCTTTTGTAGGGCATACCTGCGACAAGCATTCGCGACAAAGGTATGTAGCAACAGGCCGCGACACGGGGGTATGTAACAGGGGTGGGGGGGCCCGCGACAAAACAGGAATTTGATTCACAGCCATATAACATTTACATAATCCCTGCATCATCCCTATCTTACCCCAAGGATTCCCCATAGGCCCATAGGGTCTTTCGAACATCCCGACTGCAGATAGTGATATGAAACCCCGCATGATCTCAAATTTGCTATAGTACCAGAATTATTTCAAGATATCAGGTACTTCGAGTTCATGCAGGATGTTTAGTGTCCACTGAACATGATCCTAAACCCTAAACCTTACTCCCTATAACCAACAGCGGTCCCTAACTGAGGGCCGGCTTGAAGGACATCCCACCTGATTTGATGCAGATCCTGCAGGCAGCTCATGGTGCCATGGGGACAGAGTCGGGGGTTTCAGTGTGTTTGGGGCGTGTAATGTTTAGGGGTTTAGAGTTTGGGGGTTTAGGGTTTGGGGGTAAAGGGTTTCGGGGTTTAGGGTGTTTGGGGTTTTGGGTTTAAGGGTTTAGGGTTTGGGGGTTTAGGGGGGTAGGGTTCAGGGTTCAGTGTTTAGGGCTTAGGGCCACTTTGCCATGGGGATGTACTTGGAGGATCATCGCACCTAGGAATCACCTATCATATAACTAGGGTACTTGCTTACTGTGCTTACCATCCCCCTATCTAGCCCAAAAGGAATAACCTAGTCGCGTGTAGGGTTACATTCTTATTTATACATAGTTATTATGTCCCACAATCCTCCAATTCGTAGTTTCAGAAGAGGATAGTTGTAGACATATACTGGCGATTCCTGGTGGTGAATATGCCCCAATCGTTCAGGGCCCTGACCACAGGGCCCTGACACTAACCATTTTGACGCTAGCATGTTTGACCGCAGGATTTTGTTGGGCGTTCGGTGCCACCATGGAAGGATCGTGGATGAGAATCTAAGGATATCCTTTCACTATCTGCTGCTAGTTCCCAACTTGCAGCCATAGTAACTATCAGCAGGGCACCAACTTGCACAACATTCTATCGTGGCATAATAAAACCGCCACGAAATCTGTGCCGTCAGGAAGTGGATTCAGACGGGAGTGGGGTCATTGACTACACTGAGTTCCTTGCAGCGACGGTCGAAAAGAGGAGCTACATTTTGTGATACTGTAGAGGATGAGCATGACTGGAGCAGGTCCTATCCCCTTTATCAGGTAGCTGCCGAAACTAGAGTCCCACGCATCTATGGTGCTGCGTCACATTCATCCTAGAGCGTGCCCCCCCAAAGAGCCAGTGACCTTGACAATCACTCACTCTCCTTGCGAGGTTGTCTTCTTACGTGAAACGTATACGCCGGTAAACTAAGAGGGTAAGATCCTTCAAAGGGGGATCACACAAGGATCTCCCACGATGTTTATTGATTCAATGGGTTTAGGGTTTAGGGTTAGGGTTTAGGGTTCAGCAGCTGATCAGTTCTCAGAAGATAAGTATAAATGCAGCCTTGCAATGTAAAACGCGGGAAGCCCGACTTCCTCTACCCGTGAAGAATTTGTGCAGTTCATCAGAATAGCACAGCTAAATTTCTCGAAACCTGAATACTCCCCAAAACTGGGCGCAATCCGGGCTGAGCATTCTCAACATGCCCAGGAATGCGTGTCTTTCATTTCTATCAAGTTGATAGAGATTTTCACAGAGAATGTGATCAGGAAGGAAGGGGGACTGATGTTGGGTACCGCCCCCCCTCCCCCGCACATTAACAGTTTGATAATACTTTTGATAACATATACAAAGCCCTCAATATGACCTCTATTATAGACTGCTAAAAGGTAGGGGCAGGACCCAAGATGGATGTCTTAATGCAGACTGGTTCGCAAGAACAGGTCTCCAAGATTGCCAGGATGCATGTTTTAGATTAGGTAAGGATTTTCCAAAATTCGGGGTACCTTTAACGGTGGCTATACTATAGGAGTGAAATAGAATTATGTAGGGTCTAGGGTTTCCTAGAATTAGGGGTACGTTTCTGGGGTCACAATAATGAGGTTTATCATTTGTTTGGTTTATAATTTGTTTTGTTATAGTGACGTTCTTAACTTCGACCTCGGAGTCTAGAGTATGGGGGTATGTTCAATGCCCCTCCAAAAATTGTATGTGCCCTAAGCCCTAACCCCCAAACCCCTGTAGTCCTCTCCGAAACTCCCCTACAAGCCCTCCCTCAGCCAGGATGTACATCCAAGAAGATGTCTGCTGGGCAGCCTTCCGCGTCTTTGACAGGTGCGATGGTTGAACCTTATCAACACAGGGTACGACGAATCATACTGTTTAGGGTGTAGGGCTTTCGGGTTTAGGGGAGTTCGGAGAATAGTAGTCATAGTAGGCTTTTGCTGGAGCGTGGATTCTGGAAACCGTGGTAGAGCGAAGGGTGATCTGTGCTTCAGAAGACTGAGGCATGCTGGAACGCACTTGAGCCCACCCTCAGCGCATTCATCCCATGTTCCGGACATGGGCTTTTGCATAAATAACATGAATTTTAACCGTCTACACCTTTGATCATGATGTTTATGTCCATATCTATCAGCACGTGTCGCAGGAATGGCGACGGGAAAATCTCCATGGAGGAGCTCCAGCAGGCCGCAGCTGCCAAGGAGCAGATCCCTTCTTGCTGTTTCTGGGATGGCAGGTGCTTTGCAACGGCGATGTGGAACGAGTTGTTGGCACGAAGGCGGGCCTTCTAAAATCGTTTTGCTACGGCATTGCCACGTGTGGCTAACGGCATTGCCACATTGCCAACGATCGGTACATTCACGTTGGCGTCGGCCTTCACCAGCGCGACGTTGGATCTGCCCCTAGCTACTCAACAACAAGCCGATTTTTCCGTGTTCCTAAGGTGCTGCCACAGTCAGATGTTGGTTTCGAAAGCGCTTGCTACGCTGGCTCGAGGTCACAACATCGTAGCACGAAGATTCCTATGCCAGTGCAGGCCATTGCTGAGCTGATGTTGGAGGTGGACGGAAATGGTGACGGCTTTATCGATTTCAAGGACCTGCGCATGGATCATTAAACGGTGGAGACGTTCTGAGGGCTTGGACTTTTGCAAGTTGAGGCCTATGCCTGCAAGATCCCTACTATGGCCTGCTCTTCTTGCATTTTAACGCTGTCTTCTGAATGAAGCTGCTCTGGGGAACAAGCTCAGCAAGGGGCAGAGAGTACCAGCTGGGGTCCTAGAACAGAGCTAGCTATTTGCAAATAAACCTCGGAGAATTCAGGCTTCGTCGGATATCTCACTGTAGATGAGACCTTTGTGCGTAACCCGCTCCCTCCCCAAGCACCTTCCAGCCTGTAACAGCTGCTGGGACAGGAGTTCATGTCGATGATGCGGGACCACTCAAAGGGTACAAACGTAGCTCAGCCCTCAGCAAATCGGACAATGCTTTGATGTATATTTATGTGTTGAACGGCAGGCAATGCAGAGTTGCTACAGCAGAACTCTTTCCAACTTACGCCCCTGACAAAGTTTATATTCACTCATTGTCCGTTTCAACCTTCCCATCCAAAACAAGTACGTTAGACCCTTATACCAGCGCACACAGCACTGTAAGGGTTGTGCATTTGTGCTTGCACGTTCAGCAGGCTGGTCAATCTGCGTAAGGGAAGCGCATCATACAGTGCTTTTGATTCCACCTCACTAGCGCCCTAAACCCCTAGAACATCCTAGAACCCTATGTAAACTCTAAACCGTGTATGAGTTCATGAGCTGTTGCGATGCCCCTGTTTGATGTGTGGTCTCGGCGGCTCCGCTCTTTTGGATCTTCTCAGTGCCTGGACGGACTTGCTAACCATGGTTTTCAGTGATAACTGGGGGGGTAGGCGGGGGTATATACCCTTATGATCTAGTATCAGGGTATATTATTGTTTGGTTGAATGTTCATTTCAGTGTTTGCTTGCGTTCCTTGCAAGTCTGAAGCATGTTAGCTGAGCCACATCCCCAGAAGTCACCGCCCCAAGCCAGCGGCAATGGACCTATAACATTGCTAAGCCCTGAACACTAAGCCCTACCAAATCCTGGTGAGAAGTCTTGATGCCGCCCCTGTATCAATGGAAGCATGAGTGTGTTGCTGTGGTGGTTGTTGCCCTGAGTGCCTTAGGCCACGTTGAGCACGCCTCTGAAAGAACAACTACCTAAGCCTGTACATAGGAAAGCCTTTCTTCTGCTTGCTTCACATGGTATACTGATGTACTTCTTGTTGATCCCTTGGGCAAGAATATAGACTGTGCTGCGAGATGCGAAGACTGCTGGGTTTGGCATGCATAAGTGATGTTGAGAAGTCTTCCTGGTCAGCATGTGCACATCTTCACATCTGTGGTCATGGTATGGGTGCTGGCGTAGATGATGGCTGCCAATATCCGAGAAACGTCAGAAGACCCGTGTTGCGGGAAGAGCCTGGAAGGGAGCCGCCACGTCCAAAATCACGCAATTCGGAAAGAACTGCCTGGCCAGGCTGATACAGCGCGTGCTGAGTCGCTTCCTTCATCATGATCCAAGAGACCCTTGACCCATGGCGTTGTGTAAGTGCTATTGCACCTGTGTTTTTTTTTACTGGTCCAGGTGTTTGAAACCATCATGTGCCATTTGCAGGCCTTTGAGCCTAAGGCTTCCTTTTGCACCTCGACTTCTCAGTACTCGGAATGACTAGGATATTGTGGAACCAAGAACTTCTTTGGTGGCAACTTTACATCCGCCGGAGGCAACAAGGACGTGACATTCATTGTTTTTTGGTGGGTGGGTGGGTTGTCTGTGTAGTGACTAGCAGCTGCTAGCAGTCTCAGGTGGGTATTGCAAGGGAATTCTTGTAGCACATGCTCACATGACCATGCGCAGTCGCGAAAGCTGCCTCCAAATATCCCGGACGTTTCACACCAAAATTTCGCGGCGGAAGAGAGACCCGATCTGCAGATCCGTGTTGAGAGTTTAGGGTAAAGGGTAAAAAGAGGCCGTTGTCTTTGTAACATGCTTTCGCCGGAGGAACCTAGACAGCATATACATACATAAGGCTTAACTGGCTTACCAAAATACTTTCACTTATGACACAACTCCGGGTCGCTGACATGAGCTGCCTGCTGCTTCTTTATTGGCTCAGATTCTGGCGCTTGGGGCCAGAGCAGGGAGTAAGTAGTTCGGCACCCCGTAGGAGTAGCTTTTCAGAAGGCCGATTCGGGGTTGACCTGCTTTGCCCCCTCGGTGCCTTGGCCCCAGATGTGGTTGGAGTGTGCTCTGAGGCTGACAGATCTCTGCAGCCGTTGAGACTACCTTTATTGTAGGGTCAAGGGACTTAGCGAGTAGGTTAGTAATGGCAATAGTTGGGGGTACCATGTGGATTATAGGGCATTTCTTGATGTTATTAACCTGTTCACTAAGTGCCCCCGCCCCTCCGCAAGTAGAGGGCTTGAATGGGCTTGACATGCCTGGCTTGCTGAGGCTACGCTTGCCTGCGAGACGCTGCCACGCTTGTCAGTGGCAGTCATTTGCAGAGATGTTGGTGCCAAGAGGGTCCTGTTGGGATTCCATCTACATAGCATATGTCACTTTCGGAAATATTTTGGCATTTCTAGAGCTTCTAGAATGAGATTGCAAAGTCTCTCAGATTCATTCAAGCCAATAGAGCCTTCTGTGAGCCCTGCCAGGCAATACATATGTCCATTCGACGGGTACCCGTTGCCCTGGCCCCGGAAGATCATGTCATCTGGCTCTTCCTGCCCTACCCTTGGTATCAGACCTATGGTAGAAGCCTGAATGAAGGGTACAATCATCAGGAGTTTGATGGCAGAAGGGCAATGCCAAGACATGGGAAACGCATTTGGGCTATTTCGTTGTTTCTCTTCGGTGTCTGGGTTTGGCGCCTGTTGCATGTTCTTGCACGGCGAATCCACCGCGTGACCTGCTCTCAGTGCAGGCTCTTCCAGAATGTCACGTCTTATCCTAGGAGTCGAGCCGTCACTGACATGACTCGTCGGAGTTTGGTTCAATGTGGAAGCTGTTTGTTGGATGCGCTTAGCCGAAGGATCCACCAATCCAGGTCCTTAGGAAGATAGAGGGCTCCTAAAGATTGCAAATGAAGAGCCCTCCAGCAGGAGTCTAGAAATCAGGCTGGTCGCTCATGGCTGCTAGAAGTTTACACTCCTCGTCCTGATACAAGTTGTATAGGAGACTTGTAGATTCAGAGCACATTTCACAAGAGCCTGATTGCTTGCAGGTGCTGATTCTCGCCCTTTGGGCAAGATTTCTGCCGCAGCATCCCCAGTTGCATGGATCCTCCCGCCAACCCCCTTTCACAAGATAAGAGCCTTTTGCACATATCCGATCAGTACCCGAGTTCTTCAGCGGATCCTCTTGGGGAAGGCGGACCCCACTGGGGAGCCCAGACAGTTGCCATAGATAGGCCTCCCAAACGGCAGTTGCACCTCCTCCTGCAGCGCCGTGCAACGCAGAAACAGTTTGCATATAGACGCGGCCAACCATTGCCGACGTTTGCATTGCACTTGCAATCTGAAACTCGCAAGGCCCTATGATCAACCACTAAAATTCAGCTACCATGGAAGAAATGCGGCTCATTGGCAGAGCCCGGAGAATCGACATGTGGAACAGAATTATCCATGGCGCAATGCCTGGAGTTGTAATTAGCTGATCTTTGGCACCTAGCTGGTCAATGCATCAAATCAACACTGTCAGTGAGCTAGATACGCGACATGAGATGCTGCAGTACCATTTCTGCAGTGTTGTCGGTGCCGTGGCCGATGTGTTTGGGGCCGCACGAATCCAACTGGACCTCCCTTTGCACAGATACCTCTTGATTCCTCCGAGCTTAAGCCCGTTCAACCCTAAACTACCCTAAACCTCCCAAGAAACAAGACACCAACTAAGCTCCCGTAATTTGTCCTCCAGCCTTCAGAATCTTCATGGGGACTACTTGAGAATTGGCCTTGTATCCCTGACCCAATCCCCGAACCATAGTTCTGAGGCTCTACCCCAACCTCTTCCTCCCAAGGAGGAAGACCTAAACCTTAATCTCTACCTTCCCGTTCCTCCCTGGCCCCCCACACCTGGCCTAATTCAGGTGGGCAGGATCTGAGCGAACCTCGATTGCAGGTGCCTGGGCAAAGCGTCATGGGATCCTCAGTTCAATGACTTTCAAGATAGAGACTCAACCTTAAGAAATTCCCACAAAAAGGGACCCAAGCACCCCAGACCCTAAACAAACCTACGCCCGCCAGGGTATTGATTGCAAGGGGCACTTTCTTTCTGTAAACGGCTTTCCGGAAAATTTGCAAATGCAATTCCCAAGGGATACATGACTTGAGGCATTGCAGTGCTACTTCCATGAGCAACAATAAGTAAAGGCATGATGCAAGGTGCTGATCTCGAGCTGGCTGCGCGAGCTGCAGCCATTGAGGAGCCAAGGGCTGTCGCAATGCTTGATGCTTCGCAGGAGTGAGAACGTAATGGTGGTGCTAGCTGTAGTGGTAGCACGTGAAAGAAGATGAGGAGGAAGAAGAGTAAAAGTTGTATCGCGCTTCAATGAATCCATGCTGAAGTGTTGAACTCAGGATAATTGATAATTAGATATGAAAATGCAGCGACGTCCCCGTCCATGATGCCCAAGTGTCAGGACCTATCTCACAACAGCTATGCAGGCTATAGTTCAGCTTTCTCATGCGCGCTCTTCCCTCATTTTTATATTCTACCCGAGCAATTGCAGCTAATGGACACGACTACTTTGCCCACCATCTTCATCACAGGTTCAAACTGCTCGGTCCTAAAACTTGGGAGGATCTGAAAATTACCTCCCCTATATAGACCGAATATAATCCCTATATAATCCTGAAAATATTTCCCATGTGGTTCTAGGGGATCTAATTGTTAGATCCCTTTGGGGGTCTGGGTGAGGAAGATCTTAAAGATGTGGGGCACAGGACCTTCAGGTTCTTGAAACCCTAAACCCTAAAAACTCAACCCTAAACACTAAACCTTAACCGCATGGATGCTTTTGGACAGCAAGGCTGCCT